AAAAAAAGCTGTTGTACAAGCGAGTGAAATAAGGAAAACGGGTAGTGTTGCTATAAAGCATGCCACCACTGGACTCTGAGTTTTTCACAGAATTCTGCAGATTTTTTCCATTTATCTCCTGAAAATTAATACCTTATACATAATGGCTGTGATGACTGGAAAGTAGCCTCTTATGCTCCTCGGAACCACCGGTAGTTCCAAAACACACTTTGTCATATTCTTCACAACTTTCATATTTCATAAGCTACATTTAAAAAGTGGGTGTCATATGAGAACTGTAACCGTCTTCTTTCCAGTCAAATAGATGGCTAATGTAATTTTAAACCCTTATAATAGATTTTTGTCTACTGAAAGTTGACCCATTTTTCCACAAATCTGGGCTATAAACTATAAACAGATGGTGTCTCTTCAGTGATCTGCTCTGTAAAAATTATTTTTATAAAATAATACAAAGAGCGTCTAAGATATTTGGCTTTCAGCAGTTTTGTAAGCATATAGCAATATGTGTATGATCATAAAACACATTTTCTGTTAATTTGAGGGGAGCTTTTTCAAAAAATAAATAAATAAATAAATAAAATAAAAATCTGCATTCATTTCATGCAGTTACTGAATAATTTGCCTTAAGATTTGGTCATGTAAATTCAGATGGACAAACCAAAATATACCTCGGAGCATAAGAGGTTAATCAAAAGAAAGGGTGGTCTCAGACATTTATACAACACTGTACATCAAGGATATTCATTTATATGAATTTGTGAATGTCAAACAGACTTTTTGTTCTTGGGTTTGCCATGATAGAATTTACTTCATTATACACTCAAATATGTTAAGAATAAAAGTCCCTGTCTATATAGAGAGTGAATTTGCAATCAGTCTTTCATTTTTCCTTTCTTAACAGCCGTGTTACATTCAAATGAATAAATTGTCAGCACAGCCTTGTTGATGAAATTTAACATAATTTGAATTATTGCATATTAGGGTGAGATATCTTTATGTAGGAAATGTTTGCCTCTACAATTAGTTTGCGCTTTAACTTATGGATTTAAACAAATATTGATTTCTGATTTTTTAGTTATCAGAAAAGTCACTTATAACAGTAACACTAACACAGCTCATTATGTCTATAATAATAATAATAATAATAATAATAATAATATGTTATTCACTTTTTTTCTAATCCAACATGGAACTAAGCACACAAAACTGAATGAGTGGAAACCAGCAGCAGTTACAGTCTACATGCTGTACAAAATGGATATATATATATATATAAATATATATATATATATATATAAATATATATATATATATATTGGCAAAACACAGTCTAAACTTTAGTGCACAGTACTAGGTATTCATGTAGTCTTTATTGTTTTTTTTAAACATGCAGCTACTTAACAGGTTAAATTAACAATGTTACAGCGTACATCACTGAATTACTGTGGTAAGACTTTCACATGGTTAAAGAATTTTAAAAACTGCTGCCTTATTTCTTTTGTTCTTATTCCATAAATAACTGGATTGAAACAACTTGGAAAAAGTACGTACATTGTACTAATGAAAATACGGCTGTTTGGAGAAAAATTATTTCTAATTCTATATGAAAAAAAAGCTGTCAAGGCAAATACTAAACTAAATGTGATGACGATTATATGTGTAATACAAGTGTTGATGGCCTTCATGCTGGACTTGCCTGATTTCATTACAGAAGCAAATATTATTACATAAGATATAGTAATAAAAACAAAATCTGTAGTTGCTATTAGAAGAGCAGTTGCAAGCCCTAGTAAGTTATTAGTTGAAGTATCTCCACATGCTAGCTGGACCAATCCCATGTGTTCACAAAAACAGTGATCTATCTCATTCTTCATACAAAAATTTAGTTTTCCAGCCAAAGAAACCACTGAAACGTTTAAGAGTGTATTTCTAATTACTGGACCAATAATAAACTTTAGGAAATTGGATGTTTGCGTATAATTGTGATAAGAAAGAGGTCTGCATATAGCAAAGAACCGATCCAGAGACATCCACATCAGTAAAGTAGATTGATAAGCACCAACATACTGAATGAAAAATATTTGCATCAAACAGTTCACAAGTGAAATCTTATTCCAGTCAAATAAAAAGCTGAGCAGCATATTTGGTACAAAAAATATTGGCATAAACAAGTCTACGACAGCCATTAGACCGATTAATACAAACATCGGAGAGTGCAGAGCTCTCTGGGTTATGATTAAATATATGAGAATAGAGTTTGACACAGTAGACAATACAAACATAAAGAAATATGGGATGAACAGAAAACGCCGCCATTCTCCCAAAGAATAGAAACCATTCAGTTTGAAAATTGTGAATGAAATATTTTCTGCAGGAAGATCTTGTATGCTGCTCATCACCATGTTATCAAGAAATTCAGCATTTGTTTCAAAAAGACATGCCCGCTACAGCTAACTACAACAGCAAGATGCTTTTTACCACTTTCAATAATTAAAGGTGATGGATTTGATTCTTTTACATATTCTAGTTTATTGGTGCAAACATAACTACAATTTTAACTAATGCCAATATTATCTGTTGCTCCATGGCATTTGAATTATATTCTTTTATATTAAATATTTTTTAGATCTAGATTGATGCAAGACTAGTCATTCCTTACATAGACATAACTTCATAAATAATGATATTTATGCATCTTTTTGTGACTTTAAACATTCAACATTCAAAATCTTTTTTAAATAACAAAACTGAAGACGGCTATTCTGGAATGATGCTACAAAGAATGCTGTGTAATCGAAAAATACTAAGCTGCTCTAAAAATCTTGCAGTTCATTTTATAACAGTGACAACATTCAACAATAAACAAAGATGTATACTACAGTCTGTTTTGTGCAAAACCACTGAAAATCTGATGTCCTCTTTAGAACAACTGAATTAAAGTACTGCTCTTCGCGCAGCCACTTATCACGCACTTTGCTCCCCAACAGCTGATTAAAACTTGACGTTTGTCTCTGCTTCTATATACAGCCAGTTGTGTCCTCACGGGGCTATGCTGTATTCCTACAGGCTTTTGAGCTGGCATAGCAGAGCCCTGTTAACCTCCATTCCCTCTGCATCTCCCATCAACACACAGGCTGTACTCTGTCTAATAATTCCTCCACAAACAAGGCTTTTAAAACACAAGTTTGAGTTTAAAAGACTGATATATAGTAAAAGGATATAAAGGTTTTCTATGAGAATTTGGTTTGTCTCCCAAACTGTATGCTCATATTCTGTAGATTTGTGTAATCATGAGGGCATTCTCTCAGATTGTCTTCCAAGTTTATGCACTATGTAATTCACAAATTTCACGTGTGTGTGTGTCAAAAATGTGTGTACTAGAATCAGTAATTGCTTGGTCATATTTGCTTAATCTGAGCTGCAGGGGAAGACGTGCCTCGACAAGCTGATTAGAACAGTCTGTGTCATGACAGGGCTGACCTGGTGTTACTGGAGGCAGTAATAGAGAAGATGATGTTCAAAAAAGTTCTCCAAATTCATCCATCTTAAAAGTGAAATGAAAAAAAAAAAAGCTGTTGTACAAGCGAGTGAAATAAGGAAAACGGGTAGTGTTGCTGTAAAGCATGCTGCCACTGGACTCTGAGTTTTTCACAGAATTCTGCAGATTTTTTCCATTTATCTCCTGAAAATTAATACCTTATACATAATGGCTGTGATGACTGGAAAGTAGCCTCTTATGCTCCTCGGAACCACCGGTGGTTCCAAAACACACTTCGTCATATTTTCACAACTTTCATATTACATAAGCTACATTTAAAAAGTGGGTGTCATATGAGAACTGTAACCGTCTTCTTTCCAGTCAAATAGATGGCTAATGTAATTTTAAACCCTTATAATAGATTTTTGTCTACTGAAAGTTGACCCATTTTTCCACAAATCTGGGCTATAAACTATAAACAGATGGTGTCTCTTCAGTGATCTGCTCTGTAAAAATTATTTTTATAAAATAATACAAAGAGCGTCTAAGATATTTGGCTTTCAGCAGTTTTGTAAGCATATAGCAATATGTGTATGATCATAAAACACATTTTCTGTTAATTTGAGGGGAGCTTTTTCAAAAAATAAATAAATAAATAAATAAAATAAAAATCTGCATTCATTTCATGCAGTTACTGAATAATTTGCCTTAAGATTTGGTCATGTAAATTCAGATGGACAAACCAAAATATACCTCGGAGCATAAGAGGTTAATCAAAAGAAAGGGTGGTCTCAGACATTTATACAACACTGTACATCAAGGATATTCATTTATATGAATTTGTGAATGTCAAACAGACTTTTTGTTCTTGGGTTTGCCATGATAGAATTTACTTCATTATACACTCAAATATGTTAAGAATAAAAGTCCCTGTCTATATAGAGAGTGAATTTGCAATCAGTCTTTCATTTTTCCTTTCTTAACAGCCGTGTTACATTCAAATGAATAAATTGTCAGCACAGCCTTGTTGATGAAATTTAACATAATTTGAATTATTGCATATTAGGGTGAGATATCTTTATGTAGGAAATGTTTGCCTCTACAATTAGTTTGCGCTTTAACTTATGGATTTAAACAAATACTGATTTCTGATTTTTTAGTTATCAGAAAAGTCACTTATAACAGTAACACTAACACAGCTCATTATGTCTATAATAATAATAATAATAATAATAATAATAATATGTTATTCACTTTTTTTCTAATCCAACATGGAACTAAGCACACAAAACTGAATGAGTGGAAACCAGCAGCAGTTACAGTCTACATGCTGTACAAAATGGAAAAAAAAAAAAATATATATATATATATATATATATATATATATATATATATATATATATATATATATATATTGGCAAAACACAGTCTAAACTTAGTGCACAGTACTAGGTATTCATGTAGTCTTTATTGTTTTTTTTAAACATGCAGCTACTTAACAGGTTAAATTAACAATGTTACAGCGTACATCACTGAATTACTGTGGTAAGACTTTCACATGGTTAAAGAATTTTAAAAACTGCTGCCTTATTTCTTTTGTTCTTATTCCATAAATAACTGGATTGAAACAACTTGGAAAAAGTACGTACATTGTACTAATGAAAATACGGCTGTTTGGAGAAAAACTATTTCTAATTCTATATGAAAAAAAAGCTGTCAAGGCAAATACTAAACTAAATGTGATGACGATTATATGTGTAATACAAGTGTTGATGGCCTTCATGCTGGACTTGCCTGATTTCATTACAGAAGCAAATATTATTACATAAGATATAGTAATAAAAACAAAATCTGTAGTTGCTATTAGAAGAGCAGTTGCAAGCCCTAGTAAGTTATTAGTTGAAGTATCTCCACATGCTAGCTGGACCAATCCCATGTGTTCACAAAAACAGTGATCTATCTCATTCTTCATACAAAAATTTAGTTTTCCAGCCAAAGAAACCACTGAAACGTTTAAGAGTGTATTTCTAATTACTGGACCAATAATAAACTTTAGGAAATTGGATGTTTGCGTATAATTGTGATAAGAAAGAGGTCTGCATATAGCAAAGAACCGATCCAGAGACATCCACATCAGTAAAGTAGATTGATAAGCACCAACATACTGAATGAAAAATATTTGCATCAAACAGTTCACAAGTGAAATCTTATTCCAGTCAAATAAAAAGCTGAGCAGCATATTTGGTACAAAAAATATTGGCATAAACAAGTCTACGACAGCCATTAGACCGATTAATACAAACATCGGAGAGTGCAGAGCTCTCTGGGTTATGATTAAATATATGAGAATAGAGTTTGACACAGTAGACAATACAAACATAAAGAAATATGGGATGAACAGAAAACGCCGCCATTCTCCCAAAGAATAGAAACCATTCAGTTTGAAAATTGTGAATGAAATATTTTCTGCAGGAAGATCTTGTATGCTGCTCATCACCATGTTATCAAGAAATTCAGCATTTGTTTCAAAAAGACATGCCCGCTACAGCTAACTACAACAGCAAGATGCTTTTTACCACTTTCAATAATTAAAGGTGATGGATTTGATTCTTTTACATATTCTAGTTTATTGGTGCAAACATAACTACAATTTTAACTAATGCCAATATTATCTGTTGCTCCATGGCATTTGAATTATATTCTTTTATATTAAATATTTTTTAGATCTAGATTGATGCAAGACTAGTCATTCCTTACATAGACATAACTTCATAAATAATGATATTTATGCATCTTTTTGTGACTTTAAACATTCAACATTCAAAATCTTTTTTAAATAACAAAACTGAAGACGGCTATTCTGGAATGATGCTACAAAGAATGCTGTGTAATCGAAAAATACTAAGCTGCTCTAAAAATCTTGCAGTTCATTTTATAACAGTGACAACATTCAACAATAAACAAAGATGTATACTACAGTCTGTTTTGTGCAAAACCACTGAAAATCTGATGTCCTCTTTAGAACAACTGAATTAAAGTACTGCTCTTCGCGCAGCCACTTATCACGCACTTTGCTCCCCAACAGCTGATTAAAACTTGACGTTTGTCTCTGCTTCTATATACAGCCAGTTGTGTCCTCACGGGGCTATGCTGTATTCCTACAGGCTTTTGAGCTGGCATAGCAGAGCCCTGTTAACCTCCATTCCCTCTGCATCTCCCATCAACACACAGGCTGTACTCTGTCTAATAATTCCTCCACAAACAAGGCTTTTAAAACACAAGTTTGAGTTTAAAAGACTGATATATAGTAAAAGGATATAAAGGTTTTCTATGAGAATTTGGTTTGTCTCCCAAACTGTATGCTCATATTCTGTAGATTTGTGTAATCATGAGGGCATTCTCTCAGATTGTCTTCCAAGTTTATGCACTATGTAATTCACAAATTTCACGTGTGTGTGTGTCAAAAATGTGTGTACTAGAATCAGTAATTGCTTGGTCATATTTGCTTAATCTGAGCTGCAGGGGAAGACGTGCCTCGACAAGCTGATTAGAACAGTCTGTGTCATGACAGGGCTGACCTGGTGTTACTGGAGGCAGTAATAGAGAAGATGATGTTCAAAAAAGTTCTCCAAATTCATCCATCTTAAAAGTGAAATGAAAAAAAAAAAAGCTGTTGTACAAGCGAGTGAAATAAGGAAAACGGGTAGTGTTGCTGTAAAGCATGCTGCCACTGGACTCTGAGTTTTTCACAGAATTCTGCAGATTTTTTCCATTTATCTCCTGAAAATTAATACCTTATACATAATGGCTGTGATGACTGGAAAGTAGCCTCTTATGCTCCTCGGAACCACCGGTGGTTCCAAAACACACTTCGTCATATTTTTCACAACTTTCATATTACATAAGCTACATTCAAAAAGTGGGTGTCATATGAGAACTGTAACCGTCTTCTTTCCAGTCAAATAGATGGCTAATGTAATTTTAAACCCTTATAATAGATTTTTGTCTACTGAAAGTTGACCCATTTTTCCACAAATCTGGGCTATAAACTATAAACAGATGGTGTCTCTTCAGTGATCTGCTCTGTAAAAATTATTTTTATAAAATAATACAAAGAGCGTCTAAGATATTTGGCTTTCAGCAGTTTTGTAAGCATATAGCAATATGTGTATGATCATAAAACACATTTTCTGTTAATTTGAGGGGAGCTTTTTCAAAAAATAAATGAATAAATAAATAAAATAAAAATCTGCATTCATTTCATGCAGTTACTGAATAATTTGCCTTAAGATTTGGTCATGTAAATTCAGATGGACAAACCAAAATATACCTCGGAGCATAAGAGGTTAATCAAAAGAAAGGGTGGTCTCAGACATTTATACAACACTGTACATCAAGGATATTCATTTATATGAATTTGTGAATGTCAAACAGACTTTTTGTTCTTGGGTTTGCCATGATAGAATTTACTTCATTATACACTCAAATATGTTAAGAATAAAAGTCCCTGTCTATATAGAGAGTGAATTTGCAATCAGTCTTTCATTTTTCCTTTCTTAACAGCCGTGTTACATTCAAATGAATAAATTGTCAGCACAGCCTTGTTGATGAAATTTAACATAATTTGAATTATTGCATATTAGGGTGAGATATCTTTATGTAGGAAATGTTTGCCTCTACAATTAGTTTGCGCTTTAACTTATGGATTTAAACAAATACAGATTTCTGATTTTTTAGTTATCAGAAAAGTCACTTATAACAGTAACACTAACACAGCTCATTATGTCTATAATAATAATAATAATAATAATAATAATATGTTATTCACTTTTTTTCTAATCCAACATGGAACTAAGCACACAAAACTGAATGAGTGGAAACCAGCAGCAGTTACAGTCTACATGCTGTACAAAATGGATATATATATATATATATATATATATATATATATATATATATATATATATATATATTGGCAAAACACAGTCTAAACTTTAGTGCACAGTACTAGGTATTCATGTAGTCTTTATTGTTTTTTTTAAACATGCAGCTACTTAACAGGTTAAATTAACAATGTTACAGCGTACATCACTGAATTACTGTGGTAAGACTTTCACATGGTTAAAGAATTTTAAAAACTGCTGCCTTATTTCTTTTGTTCTTATTCCATAAATAACTGGATTGAAACAACTTGGAAAAAGTACGTACATTGTACTAATGAAAATACGGCTGTTTGGAGAAAAACTATTTCTAATTCTATATGAAAAAAAAGCTGTCAAGGCAAATACTAAACTAAATGTGATGACGATTATATGTGTAATACAAGTGTTGATGGCCTTCATGCTGGACTTGCCTGATTTCATTACAGAAGCAAATATTATTACATAAGATATAGTAATAAAAACAAAATCTGTAGTTGCTATTAGAAGAGCAGTTGCAAGCCCTAGTAAGTTATTAGTTGAAGTATCTCCACATGCTAGCTGGACCAATCCCATGTGTTCACAAAAACAGTGATCTATCTCATTCTTCATACAAAAATTTAGTTTTCCAGCCAAAGAAACCACTGAAACGTTTAAGAGTGTATTTCTAATTACTGGACCAATAATAAACTTTAGGAAATTGGATGTTTGCGTATAATTGTGATAAGAAAGAGGTCTGCATATAGCAAAGAACCGATCCAGAGACATCCACATCAGTAAAGTAGATTGATAAGCACCAACATACTGAATGAAAAATATTTGCATCAAACAGTTCACAAGTGAAATCTTATTCCAGTCAAATAAAAAGCTGAGCAGCATATTTGGTACAAAAAATATTGGCATAAACAAGTCTACGACAGCCATTAGACCGATTAATACAAACATCGGAGAGTGCAGAGCTCTCTGGGTTATGATTAAATATATGAGAATAGAGTTTGACACAGTAGACAATACAAACATAAAGAAATATGGGATGAACAGAAAACGCCGCCATTCTCCCAAAGAATAGAAACCATTCAGTTTGAAAATTGTGAATGAAATATTTTCTGCAGGAAGATCTTGTATGCTGCTCATCACCATGTTATCAAGAAATTCAGCATTTGTTTCAAAAAGACATGCCCGCTACAGCTAACTACAACAGCAAGATGCTTTTTACCACTTTCAATAATTAAAGGTGATGGATTTGATTCTTTTACATATTCTAGTTTATTGGTGCAAACATAACTACAATTTTAACTAATGCCAATATTATCTGTTGCTCCATGGCATTTGAATTATATTCTTTTATATTAAATATTTTTTAGATCTAGATTGATGCAAGACTAGTCATTCCTTACATAGACATAACTTCATAAATAATGATATTTATGCATCTTTTTGTGACTTTAAACATTCAACATTCAAAATCTTTTTTAAATAACAAAACTGAAGACGGCTATTCTGGAATGATGCTACAAAGAATGCTGTGTAATCGAAAAATACTAAGCTGCTCTAAAAATCTTGCAGTTCATTTTATAACAGTGACAACATTCAACAATAAACAAAGATGTATACTACAGTCTGTTTTGTGCAAAACCACTGAAAATCTGATGTCCTCTTTAGAACAACTGAATTAAAGTACTGCTCTTCGCGCAGCCACTTATCACGCACTTTGCTCCCCAACAGCTGATTAAAACTTGACGTTTGTCTCTGCTTCTATATACAGCCAGTTGTGTCCTCACGGGGCTATGCTGTATTCCTACAGGCTTTTGAGCTGGCATAGCAGAGCCCTGTTAACCTCCATTCCCTCTGCATCTCCCATCAACACACAGGCTGTACTCTGTCTAATAATTCCTCCACAAACAAGGCTTTTAAAACACAAGTTTGAGTTTAAAAGACTGATATATAGTAAAAGGATATAAAGGTTTTCTATGAGAATTTGGTTTGTCTCCCAAACTGTATGCTCATATTCTGTAGATTTGTGTAATCATGAGGGCATTCTCTCAGATTGTCTTCCAAGTTTATGCACTATGTAATTCACAAATTTCACGTGTGTGTGTGTCAAAAATGTGTGTACTAGAATCAGTAATTGCTTGGTCATATTTGCTTAATCTGAGCTGCAGGGGAAGACGTGCCTCGACAAGCTGATTAGAACAGTCTGTGTCATGACAGGGCTGACCTGGTGTTACTGGAGGCAGTAATAGAGAAGATGATGTTCAAAAAAGTTCTCCAAATTCATCCATCTTAAAAGTGAAATGAAAAAAAAAAAAGCTGTTGTACAAGCGAGTGAAATAAGGAAAACGGGTAGTGTTGCTGTAAAGCATGCCACCACTGGACTCTGAGTTTTTCACAGAATTCTGCAGATTTTTTCCATTTATCTCCTGAAAATTAATACCTTATACATAATGGCTGTGATGACTGGAAAGTAGCCTCTTATGCTCCTCGGAACCACCGGTGGTTCCAAAACACACTTCGTCATATTTTTCACAACTTTCATATTACATAAGCTACATTCAAAAAGTGGGTGTCATATGAGAACTGTAACCGTCTTCTTTCCAGTCAAATAGATGGCTAATGTAATTTTAAACCCTTATAATAGATTTTTGTCTACTGAAAGTTGACCCATTTTTCCACAAATCTGGGCTATAAACTATAAACAGATGGTGTCTCTTCAGTGATCTGCTCTGTAAAAATTATTTTTATAAAATAATACAAAGAGCGTCTAAGATATTTGGCTTTCAGCAGTTTTGTAAGCATATAGCAATATGTGTATGATCATAAAACACATTTTCTGTTAATTTGAGGGGAGCTTTTTCAAAAAATAAATAAATAAATAAATAAAATAAAAATCTGCATTCATTTCATGCAGTTACTGAATAATTTGCCTTAAGATTTGGTCATGTAAATTCAGACGGACAAACCAAAATATACCTCGGAGCATAAGAGGTTAATCAAAAGAAAGCGTGGTCTCAGACATTTATACAACACTGTACATCAAGGATATTCATTTATATGAATTTGTGAATGTCAAACAGACTTTTTGTTCTTGGGTTTGCCATGATAGAATTTACTTCATTATACACTCAAATATGTTAAGAATAAAAGTCCCTGTCTATATAGAGAGTGAATTTGCAATCAGTCTTTCATTTTTCCTTTCTTAACAGCCGTGTTACATTCAAATGAATAAATTGTCAGCACAGCCTTGTTGATGAAATTTAACATAATTTGAATTATTGCATATTAGGGTGAGATATCTTTATGTAGGAAATGTTTGCCTCTACAATTAGTTTGCGCTTTAACTTATGGATTTAAACAAATACAGATTTCTGATTTTTTAGTTATCAGAAAAGTCACTTATAACAGTAACACTAACACAGCTCATTATGTCTATAATAATAATAATAATAATAATAATAATATGTTATTCACTTTTTTTCTAATCCAACATGGAACTAAGCACACAAAACTGAATGAGTGGAAACCAGCAGCAGTTACAGTCTACATGCTGTACAAAATGGATATATATATATATATATATATATATATATATATATATATAAATATTGGCAAAACACAGTCTAAACTTAAGTGCACAGTACTAGGTATTCATGTAGTCTTTATTGTTTTTTTTAAACATGCAGCTACTTAACAGGTTAAATTAACAATGTTACAGCGTACATCACTGAATTACTGTGGTAAGACTTTCACATGGTTAAAGAATTTTAAAAACTGCTGCCTTATTTCTTTTGTTCTTATTCCATAAATAACTGGATTGAAACAACTTGGAAAAAGTACGTACATTGTACTAATGAAAATACGGCTGTTTGGAGAAAAACTATTTCTAATTCTATATGAAAAAAAAGCTGTCAAGGCAAATACTAAACTAAATGTGATGACGATTATATGTGTAATACAAGTGTTGATGGCCTTCATGCTGGACTTGCCTGATTTCATTACAGAAGCAAATATTATTACATAAGATATAGTAATAAAAACAAAATCTGTAGTTGCTATTAGAAGAGCAGTTGCAAGCCCTAGTAAGTTATTAGTTGAAGTATCTCCACATGCTAGCTGGACCAATCCCATGTGTTCACAAAAACAGTGATCTATCTCATTCTTCATACAAAAATTTAGTTTTCCAGCCAAAGAAACCACTGAAACGTTTAAGAGTGTATTTCTAATTACTGGACCAATAATAAACTTTAGGAAATTGGATGTTTGCGTATAATTGTGATAAGAAAGAGGTCTGCATATAGCAAAGAACCGATCCAGAGACATCCACATCAGTAAAGTAGATTGATAAGCACCAACATACTGAATGAAAAATATTTGCATCAAACAGTTCACAAGTGAAATCTTATTCCAGTCAAATAAAAAGCTGAGCAGCATATTTGGTACAAAAAATATTGGCATAAACAAGTCTACGACAGCCATTAGACCGATTAATACAAACATCGGAGAGTGCAGAGCTCTCTGGGTTATGATTAAATATATGAGAATAGAGTTTGACACAGTAGACAATACAAACATAAAGAAATATGGGATGAACAGAAAACGCCGCCATTCTCCCAAAGAATAGAAACCATTCAGTTTGAAAATTGTGAATGAAATATTTTCTGCAGGAAGATCTTGTATGCTGCTCATCACCATGTTATCAAGAAATTCAGCATTTGTTTCAAAAAGACATGCCCGCTACAGCTAACTACAACAGCAAGATGCTTTTTACCACTTTCAATAATTAAAGGTGATGGATTTGATTCTTTTACATATTCTAGTTTATTGGTGCAAACATAACTACAATTTTAACTAATGCCAATATTATCTGTTGCTCCATGGCATTTGAATTATATTCTTTTATATTAAATATTTTTTAGATCTAGATTGATGCAAGACTAGTCATTCCTTACATAGACATAACTTCATAAATAATGATATTTATGCATCTTTTTGTGACTTTAAACATTCAACATTCAAAATCTTTTTTAAATAACAAAACTGAAGACGGCTATTCTGGAATGATGCTACAAAGAATGCTGTGTAATCGAAAAATACTAAGCTGCTCTAAAAATCTTGCAGTTCATTTTATAACAGTGACAACATTCAACAATAAACAAAGATGTATACTACAGTCTGCTTTGTGCGAAACCACTGAAAATCTGATGTCCTCTTTAGAACAACTGAATTAAAGTACTGCTCTTCGCGCAGCCACTTATCACGCACTTTGCTCCCCAACAGCTGATTAAAACTTGACGTTTGTCTCTGCTTCTATATACAGCCAGTTGTGTCCTCACGGGGCTATGCTGTATTCCTACAGGCTTTTGAGCTGGCATAGCAGAGCCCTGTTAACCTCCATTCCCTCTGCATCTCCCATCAACACACAGGCTGTACTCTGTCTAATAATTCCTCCACAAACAAGGCTTTTAAAACACAAGTTTGAGTTTAAAAGACTGATATATAGTAAAAGGATAAAGGTTTTCTATGAGAATTTGGTTTGTCTCCCAAACTGTATGCTCATATTCTGTAGATTTGTGTAATCATGAGGGCATTCTCTCAGATTGTCTTCCAAGTTTATGCACTATGTAATTCACAAATTTCGCATGTGTGTGTGTCAAAAATGTGTGTACTAGAATCAGTAATTGCTTGGTCATATTTGCTTAATCTGAGCTGCAGGGGAAGACGTGCCTCGACAAGCTGATTAGAAAAATCAGTGTCATGACAGGGCTGACCTGGTGTTACTGGAGGCAGTAATAGAGAAGATGATGTTCAAAAAAGTTCTCCAAATTCATCCATCTTAAAAGTGAAATGAAAAAAAAAAAGCTGCTGTACAAGCGAGTGAAATAAGGAAAACGGGTAGTG